GGGTGACTTGAGTGATGCTGTGACCACCCTTTTGCAGTGCCTGGAGGCTGTGAGGGTCTGGATGGGGAACAACAGGCTTCAGCTGAACCCTGGTAAGACATAGTGGCTGGGATTGGAGGCCCCCCTGTATCCGAGAACTTATCATCTTTGGTTTTGGACAGGGTTGCAGTGCCCCAAACAGGCCTGGTGCATAATATGGGGTCCTCCTGGACTCACAACTACTGCTTGAAGAGCAGGTGGCAGTCGTGGCCAGGAGGGCCTTTGCCCACCTTCAGGTGGTGGACCAGCTACGCCCCTTCTTGGATCAGAGGCTGTCTGGTAAGTCACTCATCCTGTAGACTACTGCAATGCGCTCTATGTGGGGCTGCCCTTGAAGAGTATATGGAAGCTACAGTTGGTTCAAAATGCAGCCACACAGATATTAGGTGCCCCTAGGATGGCACATATAACACCTTAGCTGTGGGAGCTGCATTGGGTGCCAGTTTGCTTCTGGGTCCAACTCAAGGTGTTGGTCATTACCTTTAAAGCCCTACATGGCAAGGGTCCAGGTTACCTGAGGGACCATCTCACCCCATTAAATCAACCCGTTCCACCCAGTCAGGCAGAGAGGGCATGTTGCAGATCCCATCAGCGAGGGAATGTTGGCTGGCAGGGCCCAGGAAGAGAGCCTTCTCTGCCATTGCCCCTGCCCTTTGGAATATTCTACCCCCAGAGGTGTGGTGGGCCCCTACCCTCCTGGCTTTCCAAAAAGGTTTAAAGACCTGGCTCTGTCAGTGTGCATGGAGTAATATGGGCTCTACCCATCCTTGAGGGTGGTTAGGCCCGTGATGATGTTCCAAGGAATTACTCGCCAATTCTCCATCTTCTTGGAACCTATTTATTTTTAAAAATTGTTTTAAGTTGTATTTTAATGAATTTTTATCTTGTTGTAAACCACCCAGAGTTGTTTCATGAGATGGACGGTGACAAATTTGATAAATAAATAAATAAATAAATAAATAAATAAATAA